AGTGGATTTAATTTAATACATTTCAAAATGTTTATTTTCAAAAACAAATCTCGGTTTTTTATATACATACGTACATATGTATGTACTAATGTACAAAAAAAAACATGATTTTTTTCGCAACGTTTATCAATAAATATTCATGTACAACATTTATTGGAGAGAAGTACACTACAAGTGCTTGAGAGATACAATAACACTAATGTATCTGTAAGATACGCATTTTGCGTTTGATGTAGATACAAATCTATAGAAAACAAGATTTTTTATTTCAAAGAGATAAATTGTATTTATGGGAGATTTTATAAATGTGAGTTTAAAAGTATATCTAATGAAATAGAGTTTGTTTAGATGTATAACGAATACTTTGTACTTTGTATGTATGTATATCGAGAGTAATGTATATTAAGAAAATGTTTTCTTATTTACTTGTTTAGATACATACGTATCTATTTATCTAAATATTGCATTTGTATAATGAATGTATATATAAAAGTAAATTTAAAAATTATTTAAAAACTTTGTATCAAATTTGTTAATTAAAATTATTTAAAAATCAAAAAAAAATCAATTTCAAATCTTTGATACAAGTTTCTGTATTGCAACTCAATATTAAATCGGCCGAAAATATATTTTTAAAATAATTATAATCTTATCGCAATATTGTCTAGTGAGTATAGCATATCAACGCCGGTTTGCACCAACCACAATTCACTTTTTGTTTATTCTTTAGATTTGTATAAAATTAAACATTTTCTAATCTCTTTTTATACTTTTCTGTTTTTATTCTAGTTTGCTTGTTCTTATTTTTTTTTTAGATAAGTAGCAGACTAGATAAATAAATGTTACACAAAATTAAATTTGTATTAAATTTTTTTTGGTATTTTTATATAAAAAAGAAAACTTCTAGCAATTATTGACACATATGTATATAATTTATCATTTTAATTTAGTTTTTTTTTTAAGTACAGCCTCATACTTTAAGTGTATTCAATATTTTTAATAATATTTATGATGATCATATAAAATCGCATAAAACGAATTATCAGTTAGTGTATTCGTCTTATCAAAGTCGACTCTCATAAAAGCTAAAAATAATTAAAAACAAATTGTAGGGCACGGGAGTCAGCAAATGATTTCATTTGTTTTCTTTTTCTGTATTTAATGCCGACATTGAGCGTGTTTTTTTTGCTTGTTGTTAAAAGGGCGCGAAATATGTGTAATATGTACAAACTGAACCCAGTAGGAAATTCTGAAATATGTACTATACAAAATTCGATTTTATTCATGTTTTTATTTTGTAAATTTGAGATATAAGCAAAATCCTCAAAGCCCTATATTTACTACCCTATTTCTACATAGATCTCTAACTTTTAGCTTTAATCTATACTAATATTGCCTTTAATATATTGTTTATCTTTAGAAGATGTGGGGGTTTTAGGAATTGTGTTCATATTACTTTAATTTTGATATATGGGGGCTTTAGAAAATGAGAAATCTATAAATATAAGCTTTCAGAATATTATTCCAAAGTTGTCAAATTGAAACTTTATGGTACACATTTTGATTCAAAACTGTTTACCGGTTCAACACCTAATTTTCTTCTAACATTTATATCTTTCCCAATAGTATCTATTATGATTTAACGCTGTTCATCAAGCCTTCATCAAGCCTTATCAAGACAGAACATTTCAAGAATGTCTTCTTCTCTAATATTATCCTAACATTTATCTCCTTCCCTATAGTATCTAATATGATTTAACGTTGGACAAACGAGGATTTTACTCCTTTGTGTTTGCTGTTGCATAGGTATTCAGCGATTTCTATACTGGACACACCTTATCAAGAGAGAGCATTTCTAGAAGTTTAGCGCAATAGCTCCTACTCCTGGTCCCCATAAGATTTTAAAACTTATGTGCTTTTGGACCAACAACCGATGTTTTGATGCGAGAAAGTAACAAATTCAATAACACAGGCTAACAAAAATTGAAGAAAGTCGAGACCCAGAGACCAAAGTATATTTTTCTATAGGACTGAGCAGTATTAAATTCGAATCTGACTGATCTGGTGGTTAAAACAGTGTGGATAAAGTTGACATCATTCATCATTCTTTGAGATGGCTGAAACGTTATGCTTGCTTTCATATCAAGGCAAAATTTTAACTAAATTTAGATTCAGATCTCTCGTAGATGGGAGCTAAAATAACAGTGGACTTAACGGACTTTAGAAACAAAGATATAATCTCTCAGGTAAAACCTCTCAAATATAGACAAAGACAAAACTCTATTACTCAACATCAGTTAAATATTTTCGATTTATCGTTATCAAAATCATTATTGCAAAATAAGTTTGAATCAGGTGTCTCATTACACATTTTCTTCATTATTTTCGATTTTGATTAAAATTAATACTCAATATCAATTATAATAATTTAATAACAAATAAAATTGGCAAAAGTAATCCGCCACCCTCTTTTCTTATTGGCAAAAGTTTTATTATTTATTTATTTGTTTAATAAAATGTATGATTATTATTTGGATTTTGTTTTTGGGTAGGTATTGCACAACTTTATAAATGTATATGGGATGTGGATATGTCATGGTTAGGTTTACAAGGATGGCTCCCAACTAAAATTAAGAACATTAAATTTACAATTATCTTTATAGTATTTCCTTGTTAAATGTTATCAAAAGAAATATGGCTAGACTAGTTTATAGTTAACAATATTATAATAACCCTGCAGGAAATGAAGCGATAATTGTCTTAATGCCACTAGTACTAATACTAGAACAACAGACACTAGTACAAATTGGGTTAGAGTTTATATGAAAAAATACTAGTACTAGAAGTAGTTGAATGGCGCCACTTGTAGATTGATTTTTGTTTGACATGTGTTGGAAAAAATAATTTTTTTAAATTATTAAAATATAATTTTGAAACATTTTGCATAAAAAACGATATTTTCATACATATCCCTTCAAATGTGAGGATAAATAGTGCATGCAAATTTAGGTCCGGTTGCAGGCAAATCCCTATGTAAGTACGTCTATTAAATTTAAAAACTGCAGTAAGTTTAATATTTGTTTTATCGTACGGCAAATGTTTTTATAACGAAATGGAGATATATACCTGAAGGGAATTTTTGGACATAATGAAATCAATGATGGTGATACGGATAGAACCAGAATTTCTTCAAACTTTCATATTGAATTGTTAGGTAAATGTATTTACAACATTTGTTATTGTATCTTTAGAAATAAAACCTTATAAAAAACAAGTTGTGTAGTAATTTTCACTTGGAATTGTGCAGGAGGCTTTCAAAAGAGCAAAACCACCAATTATGGCGACTTTTTATGAATATTAGAACTAGTATCAAACTGGTTCTAAAGAACCCAATTGGGTCGAAGTGTACTAGTATAAGTCTAGAACTAATGGTACTAGTAATTTTTCAAACACACTCAATGTTAATTTGAGCATTATGATGGTATAGGAAAGTTTACAGTTGGGAACTAGTACTGGTGATTTTGGTACTAGTTAAATACTAGTTTGGTACTAGTTCCATTTCCTGCAGGGAACTGTTATTATATAATTGGTTGTCTCAACCACAATATGTTGAATACTTAAAAACATAAATATTAAAGTCAAAAATCCTTAGCATTATTTGGGGCCATATTAATAAAAGCATTTTGTATATCTACACATGCTATAATCATATTATTATTATTATGAATCAGTATGACGTTTGTCTGATATGTTTTATTACTATTATTGTTGTTGTTATAATTTAGATATGTACATATATTTAAAACGATGAGAGGGACTACGTAAATGTAGAATATTTTTTTTTTTGTATTTTTACTTATAAATATGTATGATAAAATAAAATAAGAAAAGATAGGAAAGATATGAAGAAGGCAAATAAAGCAAATAAATATGAAAAGTAAATAAATTTTAACTAATTTTATTACGAGTATATCTTTTAACTGAAATAAAAATAAATATAGTATTAGCCCAGCATTTCAAAAAAGATTCAATAGCTATGAAAATGGCAGTTATTTACTTTAACGTCTAAGCAGCTGATTTTACATGTTACGTCGCGATTGTCCTCTTTGTAAATATGAGTGAAGTCGTCTTTTTAGAGTCCCTATTGTAAACGAGAGCTTAAACAGTTATTACTGTACTTTCCTTAAGTAGTCTAGAGTATGGATACTTAGAAACTTAAGGGAAAAGGTTTATTGTCATATATTGACTCCTTTAGACTAACTTTCTACACATCTCTTTAGTCTATCGATTGGCTAAGGGTAATCCTAAGTGGTACATTAAATTGCTAGTTGGGGATTGCCTCTCCGAACTGTAAATGATATTGAAGACAGTCGTCAATTAAGTGTCTCTATTGTAAGTGAGAGTGAATACAGTCGTCACTTTTCTGTACCCAAGAAATCTAGAGGGTGGACACTTTAAAACTCAGGGGAAAAAGTTTATTGCCATGTATTGACTCATTTAGACAAGCTTTATGATCGCCTCTTTGTACTCTATGGAGTAAGAATTGAATTAAATTATGTAGTTACCAGGATAGTCAGTTCGCAAGTGGTAACCCGAAGCGGTAGATGAAATAGCTAGTTCGGGACTGTATTTCCGAACTACTGGCATACTTGTGTATGTTTATTTGGGTATGATGATGTTTACATGTTTACCTACACAAGTAAATAAGAAAGTTTACATAGTAAAGGTAAGTATTTGTGATGACCAGCCGTGTTGGAAATTAAACTTAGTTTTAAGAGATATTTGGTTCCTAAAAAGCGCCTTAAAAAGCAGATAGGATGTTTTTATACAACTAAATATTGAAAGTAAATTAAAAATGTCTAGTTTTGCTAGTAAATATAATAATTTATGTAAACATTCAATGATTTAATAATACACTCTTTAAAACTAATACTAAAACTCTACTCAAAACCAAAACATGAATTGTAATATAGACTTGGAGTAGTAAAAGAAAAACTTACCCTCTTAAAACTTGTATTCCCAGTTGATGAAAATGATGAACAAATTCCTACTATGTAGCAGCTGCTGTGATAGAGTTAAAGTTGTTTTATTTATTTTTAAAAATATATATTTTCACTTTTAAATTTTATTTTCTTTTTATTACTTATTTATTTATTTATTAACTTGTTTTAAATATAAAGAGTGGAAATTTTTCAAGTATTTTTCTAAATAATTTTTATGTTTCTTTTAATTGTTATCTATTTAAGGAATATTTATTAAAGTATTATTAGTTTAAGGTATTTTGTTTATAATCTTTTATACAATTAGAGACAGTAATTTCACTTTTTGTTACAGTTTTTTTCTTAAATGCACCATCGATCGATTAACTAAAAATATAAGTTTTGTGGGTATTCTTTTATATATTTCGTTTGGTTTTTTTTGTGTTAATTAAAAATATTAACAAAAAGTAAAGCAGAAGAAAAAGTTGAAGAATTTTTTTGATGTTTATTTTGTTTTTTTATTTAAATTAAATTGTATGTGTATGAGAGTGTAAGTTGCTTTTTTTTATTTTGTTGTTGTTGCTGTGGTCCAAATGATGACGACCCTGTTGATGGCTAACAAAAAATGAACAATGTTGAAAGAAATTTTTTTGATTTTTTCATAATAACTTGTTGTTTTTTATTTTTTTTATTATGGAAAATGTCTACAAGAACAATTTAAGGGGAAACGAAATGTTAATTTTCTTTTTTTCATTTTCCCGAATCTGTTTGTTCTTTTTGTGAATACATACATTTTCATTTATTTATAAATTTGAATAAAAAATACACATAAAATAGAAAATATTGTGAGGAAAAACAAATGTTAAAGATTGATATAGATATTTTTTTTATATATCTATATGAATTATATATTTTTATAGAAAAAAAGTAACTTTTGAAACTACATAAATATACTTTGTGTATTGTTGAATCTGTGCAAGAAAATATATTTAAGAAATTTCCGTATATGGTCTTCTTTGGATGATAATTTTTAAAAATTGTTTAATAATGGTGTTCATTATTATGATTTAAAACCTTTACTAGTCCTTACTATAGTGTTATGGTTTTGGTTAAATTTTCTATATTAAAATGGTAAATATTTCTTAGTATAGTCTTACAACATTGTAACTAATTTTTCAATAGGTATTAAAATATTATTCTGGATTTTCGAACATTCCAAAATGTTATTCTGTTTTATCGACTTGACCCATATACATTTCTCATAAACAGATCAATCTCATCCCCATAGTTAGTATTGTGTAAACACTATCTTACTATATATGTAGATGGATAAACGGATCCCACGTCCTTTTAAACGTAAAAAAATAAGTTTTAAATTGTTTTAGAAACGGTAACTTCTTTAGGGAATGAGCAATACAATAACGCTAATAAGAATATTATTTATTTTCAAATTTTATAACAAAATTTATTTTCGGTGCTACCGGTGCAGAAAACATCACAAACTATTTTATTTACATAACCATACCAACTTATTTAATAATTAATATTTCCAGTAATTATTTAAAATTTCTTATAAAAACTTGACAATTTTTGGTCCGTCCTATTTTACACAACGCACAAATTGACAAATAACCCTGATTGATACATAGATACCTACCTACATACATACATACGTACATAGAAATGTGATTCGATATAACTAACGGTATTACTGTTATAACAATAAATATACACAAATCGAAAAATAAAACATTTTTGGAGGTTATAGCCTTCAGTTTTCATTCATATAGAAATTCAAACAACAACGTCAAGCACTATAATACAATTTGAATTACTTATGTACATACATATAAAATGGATTGTATGTACGTATGTACTTACACCTACAATCAATCAATGACAACAATTTAAAACAATAAAAATTAAAAATTAGTTATTAACTTAATTCTTCACAAATAAAAAAATAAAAACAAAACTAAATAATTCTATTAATTTTAAGCATAATTTCTTTTCATTGATCCCAAACAACAAATTCCAAATAGATTTTAATTGTCAAAACGACGAACATTAAACAACCTCCCTCCGCCCTCTCAATAAATATGTATAAAATAGCAACAAAACATAAATGTAGAAGAAGAAAAACACCAACAACAACAAGTACTGCTCTGAAAAACCGAACGAACCGTTTTATTATTTCAATAGTTAGTTGAAAAAAAAAGAATATTGATTGTTTCACGCTCTTAAGTACAGGAGCAGGTAGTTAGGTACACATTTTTTCCAAAATAAAAGCTTTTTCACTTCACTACCACATTATATCAATCATCATGTGTTTTTTCTTTCTTTCTTTTTTGTAATTAACAAGTTATACATACAATTATTTTGTAAATATTTTTCCGTTAAAATTTATTTATTTTCTAAAATTATCAATTAAATTGTGTGTGAATCAATTTTTTTTTTTATTAAATTTATTAAGTAACCACTCAATACTAAAACATTTTTTTGCAAATACACATACTTTTTTTACTTTTGCTTTTTATTTAATTGATATTCGTAGACGATTACTTTATAAATGGTACGAATACCGAATCCTAAAAACCACTTCACTCAACGACTTCTCTACGACTGAAAAGTGAAGTAGGTGGATGTCAGTGCTGATAACAGTTATCAATAAAACCCGTCACGTCTGCTTAAAAAATCGCTAGAAAATATATAAATTGATTTTTGGAGAAAATTTTAGTGATTAATCACTAAAAATGTAAACCAGATTTACCTGACCTTTAATATACCTACATAATGCTTAAGTTTGTTTTACCTTATTCTTTATTTTTAAATAAATAATTTAATATATTGTTCGATTGTGTTCGTGTTATACAATGAGACATAATTGGATTTTTTTACACAACGGTTACTTGTGATAACGGTAAAAAACCATATATAAAGAAAATATCGCTAAATGATCATCATTGAAAACTAGAGATAATCGACAAATATCCAATTGGACAAGTGAGAACAATTGGCAGTAATGCCATATCATCAAATGAAGGCTTTGCAATATGGTATATTAACATTTAACCGTTATGTCAGATCGATTTAGTTTCCTTATTTTTATTTTTCCGAATAACTTGAACATCAAGTGAAACTGAAACAAAAAATATTTACCTTAAATCCTAAGGATTTATATCGCTTATTTGGAGTTTGCTTATTTGGAGTAAATCGGCATTTTAGTTTTCTTCAAATGTTTCAACACTAATAATCGCAAACATTTGATATGCGACTTTGACCTTTTGACAAACATTCGATTGTTCGAAATGCGATTAATAGAACACTAAAACCTCCACTTTGTTCTAATAAACTTTGTAGTTTGTTCATATTTGTTCAATTAGTATGAGTTTTGTCTTAAAATTTTGAAAAGGTTTTTAGAGGTTAATTCTAATTAAAAGAATCAGTTATCCATTCAATAATGGTCTCGATTTTGTTATTTTCAATAATCTTTTCAACACTCTTATTTTCTGGTTCACGAAAGATTTGATTCTGAGTCCATTGGTATACTTTAAGGTGGGTGTAGTATCAATATTTTTGGATGTTACAAGCACTCTAGTGTTGTAAATAAAAAATATAATATTGCATACATTTTCTTTGAAATAAATTAAAAATTACAAAAGTTATATCATATCCTTCGTTTTCTAACCAACAATTTAAATTTTAAAACATTTTAAAACACCACATCCGTTAAATAGCGCTTTTTATTACAAAAACACACACGTTGCCGTATTGTTAATACTTGTTTTAAGCAACACTGTTTACCTACTCCCCTTAAAAACTACTCTGTTATTTTTCTTTATAAAAATAAAACTTTTTTTGTGTGCAATTTGGTGAAAATAAAATTTTTTGATGTCGAATACAATAATAAATAATATTAAAATGTGTTAAAAAATAACAATAATAAAGCGATCGACAAAACCTACAACATTATAAGTTGTACTCATGTAGGAATCATAATTTAACAACAACTAATCCCGTCAAAAAATTGTAGAAATTGGAATACTATTTATCTTTTTTACTAAGAGAAAAAAATATAGCTTAAAAAAAGTAATAGAAATAATGATTAAACAATTTCAATAACTGTATAGTAGTCGTAATTTTAATCAAAAATAATAAAATGTTTTAATGGAAAAACTAATAATAACATTTCAATTTAGTGAAACACAGAGTTATTTTAAGTTTTTGTTTTTTATTGGATTTTTTTACTCAATGTGCATAATTTTTGATTTATTATCTTAAGATAGTACAAAATCTACCACTTTCCCCCTAAATACCTTTGTATGAATAAGTGATAATAGTGAAAGAAAACGCCACCTTGACGCACGATCTACCAATAAGATTATATAGCTGCCCAATAACAAAAACAACAACAACCGCAACATCAACGGAACCTCAACTCAACCCTCAACACCAATATCGGTGACCATGAGCAACTTTGAACGTAAAAAGACTACGCCCTGTGCGGGCTGCATGCAGGCTATTAAATGGGTACCAGTCATATTTATAGCTTCCGTCATTGTCTGGTCCTACTATGCCTATGTGGTACAATTATGTATACGTAAGTGTATTACAACAATTCTGGAATGCTAGTTAAGTTTATTTATAAATCTCGTTCTCATCTCATTTTCATTTCAGTTGCCATTGAAAACACATTTGAAAAAATAGTATTCCTTATATTCTATCACATCATTTGTGTATTATTCTTTTGGTCCTATTGGAGTACGGTTTTTACACCAGTAGGCATAGTACCTTCTAATGTAAGTTTCAACTGATGCAATGAATCAGCTAATTGTTGTTTATACAAAAAAGCATAGATAGTCAGTCAGTGCTTACAATTCAAGATAACAATTACTGATAAATGTTCAATATGATTACAAAGTTTAATTTTCATTATACATAATATATTTGATCTTGGTTTTTTGTTTTGCTTAATTTGCAGTGGCGCATACCAGAATCAGAAATAGAGAGACTTTTTAGAGCAGAAAGTCAAGAGCAACAGAAACGAATCTTGGAAAATTTCGCTAAAGATTTACCAGTAACAAATCGGTAAGACTTAATATAAACAAATTGAACTGCAAACGTCTTAGAAAAATAAAAACATTCTTATCATGCTTTGAACTTAAAAATGTGCATGTAATGATTTACGTTATAAATATAAAACAATAATCCTAAATAAGCAAAGAAACGAAAAAACTCATTAAATAATATATTTCCAGCACACTAAATGGCTCGGTACGCTTTTGTGATAAATGCAAAATTATTAAGCCCGATCGGGCACATCATTGTAGTGTTTGCGGTACATGTGTTCTAAAAATGGATCACCATTGTCCCTGGGTAAATAATTGTGTAAATTTTACCAATTATAAATTTTTTGTCTTGTTCCTCGGTTATGCACTACTATACTGCCTCTATGTGGCCTTAACATCGTTGGAGTACTTTATACGCTTTTGGAGGGTATGTAAAATGTAACCATACTTAATAATGTTCAATAATTGATAATGAAATCAAGACTGAATTTGATCAACAGGGTGAACTGACCTCAGGCATGGGACGTTTTCATATATTGTTTTTATTTTTTGTTTCCATAATGTTTGCCATTAGTTTGGTCAGCTTATTTGGTTATCACATCTATTTGGTATTGATGAATCGTACTACACTGGGTGAGTAAAATTAGAAAGGGAAATAGTTTAGAGTTTAGAGTGTAATATTTTGTTTATTTACAGAAGCTTTTCGTGCTCCCATATTTCGTATTGGTGGTGCGGATAAAAACGGTTTTAATTTAGGCAAATATGCCAATTTTCAAGAAGTTTTTGGTGATAATTGGAAGTTATGGTTTTTACCAGTTTATACCAGGTAATTTAAAAAACTTATATTTTATTGTTTCTTTGTGTGTTTCTATTAACTTATTGATGTGTTTGCTTTAGTTGGTAGAATGTTTTAAATTTATTTTAATACTTTTTTTAAACCAAAACTAATGTACATATTATAAAAAAGGAAGATATATTTGGCTGTTGTATCTTTTATATAACAGTATATTTGACCTTTCAGAAAATCGAATCTGAATCTTTAGTAATAATTTTGAAATTGATGTTTTCCGAAAAAGCTTTTGTGTGAAATATAATTTACACTGATGGCAAGAATTAAGATTCATTCTTATAATTAAAAGGAATTATTTCATTTAAATAAAAAACTAAATTTGTTAAAAAGTCATTCATTGTTTTCTGCATGATGTTATGAAGGAATCTAAAGCTATTTTTATAGTCTTACAAATCACAAAATACATGATACCTACAAAATAATTTTTATTATATTTATTTTCATTAAAAAAAAAAAAAAAACATTTGTGTTATGTCCGTAACTAAGTTAATTTTTTCATTTCATAACAATTATTTTGGTTTTTATTTATTTTGTTTGTTTGTATTTCTATTTTTCTTTAAGTATTTATAATTTTGGCAAATTAAAAGCATTTGCTTATATACGTTATTAATTGCATCAACTAAAAAAAGAAATTTTATAAACTTTTCTAAACTTTTAACACACAACGTTTTAGACTCAAAATTCTAAAACATAAAATGTGCATCAATCAACATAAGATAAATGTAAATAGCAAATGATTAAAAATTCTAACCCCGGCTTCTTAATTTGTTTGTTAAAATTAACACATTTAAAATATTTAAATTTGAATAACACGATACGAATCAAATTAAAATTGCGTTTAGCAAAATAATATCAATTGAAATAAATTTTAATTTAATATTAATAATAACAAAGACGATTGATTCACTACCATTTTCCACAAACATCTCTTCTCCTTCTAATTCTCTCTAACATAGTATGGGTGATGGTCGGCAATATCCAACGTCAAATCAACAACATTTAAGTCCCACATCGTACCATTCAATGGATGATACAAGAAACCGTCCAGAACTACAGCCCACAGATAAACTAATCAATACTGCCACAACAGATGCATTAATGACCTCTCCTAAAAATGACGATCAACATCTGTCAACAATTGTTATTGATATGAATCATGATCAACATGATCTCAACAATTCTAATGGTGGTGTTGTTGGTGGCGAAGGTGTTGTTACACCTAATGGCAATGTTATCCTTAATATGGATATGTTAAATGCTAACAATACAACGAATTTTGATACAAACAGTAATTCAACAGCTGTAAATAATGTTGTTGAAATACATGCCAGAACATGAAATTAGTTATTTTTTTTGTTTTTGTTTAAGAAAAATTAAAACTAAATTTAACTTTGTGCATTTATAATGAACGATTAGAGTGTTATTATAACGGTAACATAACATTTTTTGATTTTAGTTTTGTTTTTTTTATTATTATCATAATTTTACTGTACACACTTATAAAGCTTTCTAAAGTAGTTGCTAAAAAAATAACGATTTTTTTTAATTTATAAGTATTTTCCCCCTTTTTTACCATTTTGTAATGTAACCTTTCCAAACTTTCTATTATCATTATGCATTTTTTATCATTAATGTCTTAATTTATCATTTATAAACATATTTTATTTAAATATGAACATAAATAGTTTTTTTTTTTCATTTTTAAGCAGCTTTTAAATTACATATTTTTAATAAAAATTATATTAATTTCATTTTAAAACAAGTATGTAATAGGAATATGTATGTATGAGTACATACTTGCATATCCTTTATCAAGGTATGTAAAAAAGGAACGATTGGTAAATAATTTTGAAAATATTGCCTTAATAAACAGAAGTGGCAATTTAGATTTCAAAATGGGTCCAGTTTAGGTGTAATATGGGCGCATAACAATATTGTATTGCTCTTTAAGAACCCAATAAATTGATTTGCAATAAAAGATCGAAGTCATATATATTCAAATATATATGTTTTTAAAAGTGATATATTTATGGATCTACAACCACATCACCTTGGTGGACAAAAAAAAGCATTTCCAAGCTCTTTATAAACTACAAAGATGTAAGTTTTAAGAGTTAAGACTGTATTGAGATTGTTTTTCGGGACCAAAACAAATACATACTTGTTTTATTACTATTTTTTTATTGAGAATGAAAATTAATTGTTTTATTTTATAGTTAGTTATTGTAGTAATAAAAGATTATAATAATTGTCACACTGTAATTAAATAGTAAACTTATTTTCTTGTAATTTGTTTAAATAGAGTATTAATTATAAAATGAAACAGCATGTTAATTAATTTTTGGCAATACATTTTTTTACACATACCTATAGGTAATAATAAATAAATATAAATATAAACAATTTTTTAAATTGCTAAGTGTTTTTTACACTTTTTTTAATTATTTATTTGTTAAAATTGAAAAAAAACAAAACGAAATATTTTTAATAAAAAAAAACTTTAAAATGACAAAAGAAACTGTTTTTAATTTGCCAAAATTTTGCAACATTTCAATTATTTGTTTAATCGCTAATAACTTTCATTAAAATTTTTTTAGCTTTGGTGATGGCATAAGTTATCCGATGCGTCATTGTGAAGAAGATACTGAAACTTTATTGGGTAATCATGCTGATACCAGAATTGATATGGAAGATGAAATTGATATATTCCCAGAGACGAGATTTCATGATAGTATAATACCATAGTTAATATTGACCGAAGACAATGTAGCCACCTATTATATATGATCAAAATAATTGAAGGACTTAATGCAATGATATTACTCTCTTCGAAAATACCTTAACTAACCACAGAAAGAGAGAGAGAGAGAGCAAGAAAGTTGCAAAAGTATTTACATGTATGTAAGTATTTATTTTAAGTATTGTTGTTTGTGTAACAAAAATTGTTTAGAAATCGAAGAAATATATATGAATTGTTGTAATTTTCAAAGATTTATACATATATTGGTGGTTACATTACAATTTACGACTATATAAACGTAGAACCAACCCCATAACAAATACAAATAACACAAAGTTTTCTATTTGTAACTTAACTGCATACACAAATGTAGGATTTTTTGTTAAGTAATTTGAAATTAAAGTTAAAGTTTAATTTCAATAATTTTTTTCTTATAGAAAAATTTAGCAAACAACTAAATAAAAAAAAAATAATAATTAAAAAAAACATTTGTTATAGATTGTATATAATTAATACCTCATGTAAACAAAAACCAAAATGTGCAAATTGAAAAAAAAAAGAAAAACAAAATAGAAAACAGCCTTTTATAAATAAATATATTTAAAATTAAGTTTAATATTTAACAAAAATAGAAAAAAATGGGAAAACTATAAAATCCTTACTGCTTCAACGATCGATTGTCATTATAAGTAAATAACTATTTTTAGGCTAAATTTTTTAATTTCTTATTGAGAAATATTCAAAATTAAATTAAAAAAAAAAAACAAAAAATACAAATTAATGTTGTTGCGTCATATTTTATAACGAGTCAAAAGGTTACATTATAATTATAAATTCATAAATTTATAATTATACTTTAATATTTTATCAAATATAAGAATTAAATGTTAAGAAACAAATTCTGTATAGCTAAATAAAATCTTTAATGTGGTTTAGAAAATAATTTAAATGAACATGACAGTCATGTTGTCAGCCTCTGTGTGTCACGTATGAATACTATTTATGGAATGTTATTGAAAATTAAGAGCATTTCAAAAACTCTATATATTTTTTAATATAATGTATTATTTTGTTTCAAAATAAAAATTGTATAAATTTGTTAAATTTAATTGAAAAATATTGAAATTGTTTAAACAATTAATCTTATACATTTTAGAAATAATGTTTTAGTAAGAAAGTATATAAGAGATTGTAGAACATCTTGGTAAAAAGGGTTAATTAGTTTTAAATTTTTTTTTTTTTAATTTTTATGGATATTTGCAATGTTAAATGCAATTAATCATATTTATTCAAAATATTTAGTTTTTATCAAAATTTTTAAATTTTCATGAAAATTTTGAATTTTTGGTAAAAATTTGAATTTTCAGGAAAATTTTAATTTAATTAGTTTCGAATTTTTAAATTTAAATTTTTTTGATGAAAATTTTGTATTTTGTAATTTTGTAAAATATTTAATTTTTATCAAAAATTTAAAATTTTTAGAGAAAATTTAAATTTTTAGTAAAAATTTGAATTTTCAGGAAAATTTTGAAAAAATGGCAAAAAGTTGAGTTTTTAGAAAAATTAATTAGAAAATTTTTAACTTTTAATTTTTTGTAAAATATTTCAATTTTATCAAAATTTTAAATTTTTAGTAAAATATTGAATTTTATCCATTTTTTTATTTATTGAGAATTTTTTTTAATTTCTTTAGTATTTGAAGAATTCTAGTACGAAACACTTAATTAAACAATTTTTTAATAAACATCACAAAGAATAAAAAACAATCAAAATAAAATCTCTTTTTAAATTTTTTCATAAAGTATAAAAAAAACATCAAGACAATAAACCCATACTCTACATACATACAAACATTTTTATGCAAAATTGATTTAACAAATTTATGAAATTTTTGCCAGCTGTTAAATTTAAAAAAAAATGCTCTTATGGAAACCAGTTTGAAAAAAATGAAGTGATGATTAAATGTACTGAATAGATTAAAATAAATGTAAAAGGAAATACTATTTATTGTTGTTGTTGTTTAATTTAACTTTATTTTTGTATTTCTAACATACAAATTATAATATTTCATTTAAAAAAATTTAGCTTAGTCGAATCTACTTAAGTCATCATCAGACGGTTTGTTTTTGGGAGAGTTCATTTTTAATTTTTCGGCTGTTACAACACCAAAAACGACATCATCATAATTATTAACTTTTGAAACGGGTATTTTTTCTGTCTTTACAAAGGGATTTCTGATTTTTTTAGGTACAAACGGCACTACCTCAAAATCTGCATCATTATTATCGTTATCATTATTAATGTCTGAAACGTTTGCTTCTTCTGTTTTATTGAAAGGATTTTTCTTGCTTTTCTTTTCTTTTTTAACAACAGGTTCACTAGCTGTTGTAATCTCTTCGGTTAGTTGTTGTATAGGTTTTTCTGGTTTGATTTGTTTTTCCGCTACTTCCTCAATTTTAGCTTGTTTTTCTTCCAAACGTTTACGTTTCTTAGCCATTTTAGTCTCTCCCGGTCTTGGTATTATACCACCCGTATCTTCACTGCGTGGTAAAGCCTCTTTAATAAGTTCTTCTTCCACATCCTCGTGTTGAGGATTTAGCTTTTCCTGTATGGCTGCCATAGCTATAAGAATCGCTTCTTCGGTTCTTATAGTACGTGAGCCTTGTTTGGGTAACACATTGATGTAATTATCGAATAATAGTTCGGGGTCATCTACATCTAATTTATCATCGTTGGATAAGGCTGATTCCAAACCCTGTAGACCGCCAAATACCAAGAGTACATGGTTAAATTGTAGGGATTTTGCTGGTATTTCCTGAACATTAGCACCACGATCAGAGGTACCAATTGTTAAATCATAGCCACCAGGATAAGGTGATTTCGTAAATATATCCGACATAGTATGTGCAATGCGTACAGTGTAACCCCAATAGACACCTGTTTCACGGCGTGGTTCGTCCGGACTGACAATGGTTCCTCTTTGTTTGCGTACGTGTTCTATATATTTTTGTATAATTTTAAAATAGGAATTATTAAGCAAAAAGTTTTCACTTTGTTTGAATTTTTTTTTTTTTTGATACCGATTTTTATTACATTTTATTTTGGACCCATACTCATAATAAAATTTGCTTATTTTCCCTATTCATTACTAAATTTAAAAAATAATTATTTAAATATTTAGTCAATGAAACCTAAAATACAATGTATAGTCAAAACCTGTGTAATTTTTATATGAAAACAGATCCGTAAATAGTACTACAATTAAGCAAATAGCGAAAATATTTTGATCACCTCAATGTTCTACAATGGCTGTGGCTCCATACCATTCATATTTATGTGAAACAACTATAAATGTTATAATCTTGATCTTAAGGTAAATATTGCTCGTTTGTTATATATTTTACTGAAAAAATCCTATACCCTCTTATAAACTTTACTCGTTTGGCCAAAAATTAAAAACATTATAAATGGCAACCTACAAATTAGTGCCTCATTTGGGAAATTATTTTCTTCTTTTATCACAAAATTAAAAATAACATCTTTTACTACCCCTTATTCTAAAAATTAAAATGTTTTACTCACCTTTAGTATCATCCAATTTTACCGTTACTCTCAAACCAGCCGTTAGAGCTTTATTAACCAATACATCATTTAAAAGACCAACATTGACATAAGAATGACCGGGTTTCGCTTGTTTTTCCGTTACAATACCTTCACGATAACGGAAAATATTTTGTTGACGCAAATGATGAGGTGCATCCAGAGGATTTAATAAACCGGAATATTTTAGATCTTTATGCAAAGGAAAGAAGAATTTGCGTAAATATTGGGGACATTCCAAGTACTGTAGAATGCGGGCCAGTTGTAGACAACTACTGCGCACAGTATGTGAAGTATCATCGGCTGCGTCTTCATCATCAGCATCATAGTTACGTTTTGTCTCACGAGCGGTGGCCAAACCAATATCATCGAATACAATAACTTCATTTACCCTATAGATGCAAGCAGCTCTGGCTATTTGACCAGCCACATATGTTCGCAATTCCACAGATTGGGCATTTTCCAATATTGAACCAGGCACCGCTATTGAGACGGTAGAGGGATTTGGTTTCTTTTCCGTTGATTTATTCGTTGTCGTTAATTCCTTTTCCTGCTTTTCTTTTTCTAGAGTTTGTTTCTTTTCCAACTCTCTCAGTAGCTTTTCTTGTTTGCGTTGTTTTTTCAATGCTTTACGTTCTTCGTTTATCTTTTTCCATGACTTATGGACTTCGGTGGGTTTAGCTGTATTCACTGAAATCATTTTTTCGTCATTTAACTATTATTTTTTGTTAATATTTATTAAATTTCTTCTTTTTAATTTTACTGCACGTGTTCACAACAATTGAAAAAAATAATAAAATGAAAACAAATGAATTATTAGAGTTGCCACACTTCAATTAAATGTTTACAATTGTCTGGCAGTTTTGAAAAACAGCTGTAAATTGTTTGTTGGCAAATTGCTATTGAATCACCCTGTATTGTAGTTGATTTGTTTTTATTAGTTGATGTATACAGATTTTGTTTAATCCGAAGTTTCTTTCCAGAAATTATTCCTAAATATGAGCCGAGAAGTTTTAGCGCCTCCATTGATGCGTATGGGACCGAATCGTTGTTATCGTGTAAATTTGATACATGAGGATTTTAGTAGCCAATATGGAGCTTCTCTGGGATCCCAACAACAGGCTCAAGCAGCTAGTAAAACTTATGCCGAGGAAGGTAAATTGGAATGGATATAATAGCTAGGAGTTGTGATATTCAAGTCAGTAACGTAAATTTTGAGATATGGCAGTTTATTTAACAATTAACCAACACAAGGGCCGTTTGCAAAGAAACAGTCATAAGTCTGAATATGAGTTTGATCTAAAAACCAATTGACAACCGAAACCGTCATTCAATTATCAATTCCCTCTATATTTTATGGAATTGTATGCGAATTAAAGATTTACTAAAAATTTCCCCAAAACAAGTAGATTTCCGAAATGTTTAAAATAGTGTTTTCTTTAGCCACAATTCTTAAAAGTAAATTCTATTTTGTATATTTTTCTCTCTGTAGATCTCTATGGAGAAGATTACAATGATGAATTAGACGCTGAAGTAGATTGCCAAATTGAAGAAACCCAAAATGGCATGTTTAAACTACCCATACATGTGGCCTCGTAAGTTATAGTTAATAAATTTAACTTCTATTATTTTACTAACAATTTAAATTCAAAGATCATTTTATGGTGGTATAATTGGTCATAAAGGATCGACGAAACGGCGTATTGAAACAGAAGCACAATGTGACATTACTATACCGCAAAGAAATGCCACACAAAAGCAATCAAATTCAAAAATTATTATTAAAGCGAAAACAAGAAATAACGTTTTATCGGCAAGGCGAAAAATACAATTACTTTTGACTTCACTGCGTAAGCGAATGGCACCGACACATTTCTATGGAATAGCTTTGAATTTTGGTGAAATACAAGAAAAATTTATAGATTTAAGAAAACAAATTATGTCGGCCGAAATAGCTGGTATTGAAGAGTCAATATTTCAAAGTGAAAACTCGATACATTTAACATTTGGCACCTGTGTTCTAATGGACGAGGTGGAAAGAACAAGAGCCATGGAGATATTGCAAAGTTGCCGGTAATGTTATTTCATATATTCGGTAATAAATATTGTAATGTGGTTTTGGCTTATTTTAGAGAATTTCTTACTGATTTAAAGCCTCCCTTTACGGTGCGCGTTTCGGGCTTGGAAATTATGAATGATGATCCCAGTTCGGTGCGTGTTTTATATGCCTTAGTGGAGTCCCCAGAACTGCAAATATTTGCAGATCGCTGTTTCCAACGTTTCAATCAGAGCGGCTTCGGATTTGACGATTTTGATCGCGGCAATGTAAAACTACATATGACCGTTATGAATAATCGTTATCGCAATTCAGATGCTAAAAGTTTCGATGCTCGAGAAATTTTAAAACGCTGGAGTAATTTTGATTTTGGCACCGCTCAATGCAATGAGCTGTTATTGTGTGTTATAGGCGGTTCTGCCAAGGATACAAGTGTTTTTTATAAAATCACAGATTCTATGAAATTTTAAATTTGATATTTAAATTTCCCTAAATATTGCATTAATGTAAAAATACCACTGAAATTAAATAAAAATTTTCTTTAGTATAAATATTTAGTCATTTCTTTTTATTACACATAAAACTGTTTGCAAAACAGTTTAGTTTTTTATTATTTTATTTTATTACATCGTGAAACTTAATTTACAATTTATATGTTTTATTCTTATTTTTTGTTAACATATTCTATAATGCAAGTTTTAGTTGATACTTATAGTGATGTTCTTTCTGTACTGGATTTAGTATACCAATAAGTTTATTATTATTAATTTAATTATAAAATATGAGATATATTCAACTTTTAACAGGAATCCCAAAAGAAAAAGAAAACATTTAAAGTGAGTAACTTAAATATATTTTTAATTAATTATACATATGTATTGTATTTTAAACATTTCGATACAATGGATTTGGTGGGTATTAATGTTTTAATTCTTTTCAAGGGGATTTTTGTTGAGGTAAGAAAACATAGGGAAAATTATTCTCAGTTATTTTGTTAAAAAAAAATATTTTGGAAGACCTAAAATATTAAATAGAAAAACTTTAATTTTGAACAAATTTATTATATACACAATAAAAAATCATAGTTTTTAGAATAAAAATATTTCCCTTGTTATCTAATAATAATAATAAATATGCAATGAAAAATAACATTTTATAGTAGGTTTTGTGATTAGGAGAGTGTTGCTTTTTTTTCAAATAGGGAGGTGCAATTATTCATATTATAGAGGTAAAAAGCTCAATTATATAAATAACTTTCGTTTGCGATTAATTATTTAGCGGATATTGTATTAAGTCAATAATTTTTTTCTTATATCTTTATAATAATATAAAGATATAATTTTAAACTGAAAAAGTGCCTAAGGTGGGACCGACTTTACATTTTAATTATGACTTAAAGGATTTTTTTTGTAAAACATCTTTAAATAATTAATCGTCCAAAAACAATTGTTTAAATTTCAATAACAAATTAGTAAAATTAGGAAATAATAATTAACAGTGTTTTTTGTTTGTGTTTTTATATGCACACATACATGGAAAAATAAGGATATAACATTTTGTTTTTGATTTATTTTTATAAAAATATATAAGTTTGTTTAATTTCTTATTTACAATAAAATCTAACTATATTTAAGTATGTTTGTTTGTTTTTTGTTGTTGTTGTTGTATATATGAAAAGTGTTATTGTTGTTTTGTCTGTAGCGTTGTGTGTTTAATTAGTTCATTCCATAGGGGAAAACATCTTTAATCTTTCGATAATTTTTCCAAAAATCTTCTCTAAATAGGACCAAATTGTAAAATTATAAAAGGAATATACAAGATCCTATTAGATGTTTTTTGGAATAAACTTATGGCTCAATTATTGATAGCAATCGAACCTCGGTTGAGTTGTCATTCTGTCAAAATTAATACAGATGACACAATATCAATAAATTTTTTGGCAACTAACGAAATTTGCGTTCATAACACCAAGATTTATGTCAGTTGCTTTGAGCGCTGACAATTCAACTGAAGTTTGATTGCTATTCATAATCGATCCAATAAATTGTTTTAATAAATCTTGTTTAAAAATATTGCACTTTAAAATACTGTATGGAAAGAAAAATCATTGAACATTTAGAGAGGGAAGTATTTCTGTGGAACTTTATATTTATTGTTTAAAATTTGTTATTGTTTCGGCACATATGTATGTGTATTCTACTTGCGATATGTATCACCCATAAACTATGACTTTATTTAGACAGAAATTGACCACAAGTTAGCTGATTCATATAATACTTGGGATATATATTGCACAGAGCCGTCAGTTAGTTAAAAACAAAAAAAATGGCTGAGATTTTTTATAATTAAAAACTTTTTTCTTAAAAACTCAAAAAATGTGATGAAAATTTTAACTAAACTTTTTATATCAAAATATGGTAACACCGTTTATAGAATTTTTTGTTTAATATTTTAAAATCTTTAAAAATGTTACAAATAATCAGTTAAATAAATTAAAAAAAGTTTTAAAATCTTTAGTGTTTCTTTTTTTATTCAAATAAATTATTACACAACTATGCTTTTAAAAAACTACTTAATTTAAAACAGATTTCTAACAAAAGAGTTCTCTAAACTTTTTTAAAAACTGTATTTAATTTGAAATTAACATTACAAAAAGAGAAAATTATAAAACTTTTAGCCATATTCGATTTTCATTTTATATGAATTTAAAATTATCTCGAAAATGAGATTCAATTTAAGCAGACAAATTGTTTTTAGAAAAAAATTTTGTTAGCCAGCTGTTTTAAATCTTTAAATAGTTGGGGTTTTTGCTTAAATTAGTTTACAATTTGAATATTTTTCTATTTTATTAATTATATCAATATCAATTCATTTCACTTAAAAACAAGTCAGTTACAATTAAAAAAACAAACATACAAAAACACCTAAATAAAGTGTTAATTTAATTTTGATTAATTTTACATAATTTATTATTTTTGGTTTCAAAAAGTCCATTTTGTATAAAATTGTATGAAAAAAAGTAGCGAAAAACAAATTGTTTACATATTTTCTTCTTAAAAACATTTTTGGAAGATATAAAGTTAGGAGGACTTTTTATTTGATTGTTGCTATATAAAAAAAAATAGGAACGATAGTAAAGTGTAAAATTTTTTTTCTTGTAAAAATTTAATGCTTTTTGGAAGGACTTTTGTCAATCTTGTTGTGTGTGCGTTTGTTAGATTTTTTTCTTAAATTTTTGTGTCACTGAGTGTGTTTTGTTATAAATTTTGTATGTGTGCGTGCGTGCTTTGGAACAAAAAAAAAAAAAATGTTGTAGTTGTGCTTAATTTTTGTTAATATAGTGCCTTAATAATGGTTATTAAAAAAGCGTAGGAGTTGATGTTATAACAAACAATAAAATGATCGTGATAAATGATAAAGTGCTGATGATGATTTTGTTACATTTCATTCATTCATTACATAAAATAATATGGATGGTAAAGGTGGAGGTTTACTTTTTGTTTTTGTAATAATAATTATTATTATTCCATTTGTTTAGTATGGGGTCAAGTTGATCTTCTTTTTATCTGCTTTAAATTTAAATTGTTCTTGTTGTTGTTGTTTTACATACTATAAAATTGTATTAAATTTATGTTGTTATCCAACATTTGTTCAAACGGTTGTCATTATTATCCGTAATCATCAGAGTGATTAACAAATAACAATTGGAGTTGGAGCATTTAGAAAAACAAAGAAAATCCATGCTATTCTTATAAATAAACTTTATTATTACGACGTGTAATAGTTGTAGTAGTAGTAGTTGGATTGCTGTTGCCTATAGTTGCTATTTTGCATGACCGTTGCTTAAAACAGCTGGCAAAACGTTGGCTTGCTGGACGACAGCATTAATCACTTCGATTTCTTTCTTAAGAAATGCAGCACTCTCGTCTGCGGATGGCTTGCCGGTGGCACCAGCTACTACATCACTAACGGTTGTAGCCAAAGAGGTACGTTTGCGTAAACCGTTGGGTATTTCGCGCATTAAATCATTTTTAAATTCCACAATACCCGTAACGGTTTCCGTCACAGTCTTATCAATGAACTCCTCAATGTTCTTAGTTTCAGCTTCGATTTTCTCCATGATCTTGCTAGACAATTGATCCATTTCGCACTGATCGTGGGGCACACTTACGGCATCCCGTCCGGGATTTACAAGAGGTAATTTAGGTGGTGCGGGAGACGTATGCCTTTGTTCGGCCTCGGGTAATACATTTGTATTTGTAGTTGAGTAGGATGTGTTTACATTTACAGCTGCCTTAATAGCTGTTTTATCGTTTGCGGACTTTTTAACCTCATCGCCATCATCCTTTTTCAAATTATTAGAAATGAGAGGCTTTTCCTGTTCATCACCCAGTGATGTTTTGGAAGATGATTGTGGTGGGTGTGGACGTCTTTCGCCGCGTATAAATTTGGGTAAAACAAAAATGGTAATGAGTGCAACAATGTGAAGGCACAAATAAAATTTCAGGTACAATCTAATGCTGCCCTGTAAGGATTAGAAAAAGTTTTTAAAACAAACATTTTAATTTACGACTTGAGATATTTGTACTTGTTGCTACAACCAGAGTATTAAAAACCTTTAATGTATATTTAGTTTTCGGTCAACTTACCATGAATTCAAGCAGAACAAATGGGAATGTAGCGTAACCCATAACAACACGAGTTGTCAGGCATGTCAAAATGTCATAAAGCATACGTGTCATGCGTGTTTGTTGGAAACGATGACGGAACATACGGCGAGCCTAAAAGTCGCGAAAAGAAAATAGCAAAAAACCAATGACATTATGCATGAATATAAGTAAAATTAAAGTAAACCCCACTTACCATACGAGCTGAGGTTACCATTAGAGCTCCAGTGGCAAATGTTAAATAGTAACCAGGATAAAAACCATGCCAGACAGCACTTAAAGCAAAAGTTAAAATAGTGCCATATTTCTTGGGGACACGTTCATAAACGATGGTACGTAACCAACGATTTGTGCCACAATTCCAATTGTTAATGGCATCACGCATATTTGTAGCAAACTGAAGACAAATTACAATTTAATTGTTATTACTATAAGAAGAGTTAATTGAATAATTGCACTTACTTCAAAACCTAAAACATTAATATTAGAAATGAGATCCCAGTTGGCATTGCCATCCTTATCGTAACCCGTAAACCCTAAGCCTGAATTATTGCATATGGCATCGGCCAATAACCAGGCATGATAATACTTAAAACGTGTGCAGGTGGTAGCCATCATGGCATACCATATTTTATACGCAATGCTGGTGTTCTCAATAAAGTCGTCGTCTTTCATATTCTTTATGGGATACATTTTAACGAATTTCATAAAGATAAAGGCGCATATAAAGCTGCCGATAACTTTTTTCACCACCGTTTTCACCGGTGAAGGTTCTAGCACCAATTGTGATTTGCCATTGTCCACGCTTCCCTAGAATGTTTAGGAATATACAAACATATATTAAAAAATAACATGATGAAAATGACGTTCAATTACATTCAGTCAAACACTATTGCATCATTAATTTGATGATAAGAATGATGCTTGAACTTACATTTGTATTTGTGGGTTTAAGTAGATTACAACCCTCAACAAAATCAATATAATCTTTGTAGAATACCAATGGACCAGCCATTAAACCTTGAAAATGTAAGGCGTATGAAAAGTATTCTAAAGCTGAGGGTAGTTTACTAACAGCATGATATTGTTGGGCCTTAGTAAGATCCTAAAACAATAAAATATTGAGTTTTAGATTAACTGGTCAATACTAAAGGTTTACACGTCAATGGTTTCTCCTCTTGCAAAAGTGCAAAATTTTCCACTACCTTTAACCTAGTGCATAAATTTTGAGCGAAATTTTGAACAAAAGTTTTTAAATGCTCTAAATACTCATAGTATTATGTTTAGTATTATGCTCCCTGTCATCGCCTATGCACATAAAGTGTAGCTATCATTCGAATACGGGCACTTTCGTAAAATGATTCCAGCCTAATTAACTCTATGTCTAATTGAGGAAATTATCGGCAGGAACAATAATTAATCTTTCCTATATCTTAAAATTTTATTAATTTTTAATATTGTTCTACTCCCATGTGATTATTGTTGCAAAAAAAGGGCTCACGTCAACTAGAACAAGATTTTGCATTTTCACAATTTCGCAAGAGTAAAATCGGTGACGTGAATACCATTACTACTATGTTTTTTACACAATAATTATTTTAATTTACCTTTGTTTGTCTTACAAAACCATCATGTATGCTAAAGGCCAAACTAGTAACTTTTTGTGTTATTATCATAAGTGGACCAGTTATGTCCAAAGTATGTGAACCATCATCATATATTTGTCTTAACAAATGTATGGTTAGCAAATAAGCCATGGCCACGATCATAACGCCCCTAAAAATAAACAATTATTTATTTATTTTTTTCTTTATATAATACAAATGTTAGTGCTGCACTATCTGAGATTAGATTGACTAATTCATTCTATATCGGAGAAGTTTTTTTAAATCTTTTTATGACACATTGTTTAAATTGTTGAGATATAAAAAAAACACCTCTCAGATAAGAATTAAGCTTGTGTAATGAATGGATAACATAAATGTCACACTTACCTTTGTACAACTTTTGGACTTTGTGTGCGTATGACTACATAACATGCAGCTGGAAGACCGGCAATATGTATGGCTTGTGGTCCGAAGCAGAAATAACCAAAAACTAGACCAATACTTAAAGCCACTATATGACGCACTGATGAAGCTACCTTGGAAGGATGTAGCACTGAACGAAATAGTGATGCTAGGAAGATTGCGGATATTTGGCATATTATAAAATTTACCTAAGAAAATAGAAAAAAGAAGAAGAAAATTATTAATTCGAATCGACACCAAAGCCAAATATAATATTAAGAGCAGCTGAAATCTGACCAGATAATAACAGTAAACATGTATCGAATGTAACCGATTACTTTGATGCGAGTTTTGGGCGAAAAACGCCTGGAATATGCAACCAGACACTAAAGCTTAGTAAAAAGTAACATCTGTTTAAAATTATTTAGAAAAGGTTATTGGGAAACGTTCTCTTTAGAACAAGGTAATGATTTGATTCTGTTTGGCGTTAAAAGATGAGCACTTCTTTTGGAAGGGAATACATAGCCTCTACTATTTGAGTCCAAAAAATACGGCTGTACCTTCAAAACATATTAAGGACTTTTTATATTATAAACGTTTCCTAAGTAGTCCATTTACTAGTTAGTAATCTAGCTAGTAGACTAGTTAGCAGACTAGACCAAAATCTATTCGGCGGACAATACAATAGATAAAAAAAGCCGAAAAGTAATTTAATGCATTCAATCATATCATATTGAAGTTCTATAAACGAAATTTTTAGCCCCTAAATACCACTTTGCATGATATTCTCTAGAAAAACTCTGGAATTATATTCTCTATTTTACAAAATTGATTAGTAATAATAACATCAGGTGATTGAAAATATTCCGCTGACTCACGTTTAGTTTTTATATCAATCAGTATCACTTTATCGCAATATTTTTATTGTTTTAAAACCAAAAAAATCACCTTATTATGACTGTATGATAAAAAAGAAAAGTATTTATATTTCCAAAAAAAAATGTTTATGGGAATATTTTGCGCACAAAAAATGTACATATGTACATACATATATGTTGTCCTAAATTTATAGATTTAAAATGAATTTAATGACTTGATTAATAACATTTTTTTTGTTAATTATAAAAACACAAAATGATAAAGGTAATTTTCTTTTTCATTATTATTTCTTTTGTTTTAAATTTAATTCAACATTATTATCAACATCTCCTAGTAGTAGTTGACCTGTTATCAGTGAAAATGCGGTTGAGTGTGACACTATGAAAGTGCGACACAGTAGAATGTAGATTATTATTTTGTTTTTGTATAGCTTTTAAAGAATGTGGGGCTTTGTAGTTTTGCAAAAATTATTCTATTAAATCAGGCCACATACAAAATTTGCTTTATATATTAGACCGATTAATTTTGTGTGAAAATAACAAAAAACAACACAAAGTTAAAATTAACTTCCTTTGTTTAATGAGGATTTTTAAAATAATTTGAATCTAGTGATGTGAAGCAGTCGAAGAATTATCTTAAAGGACATGCAAATATTTTGTTTAACATTATATAACAAAATACAAGCTCCTAATTTTGCGCTTCAGTCTAATATAAGAAATTTAAAAATTGGCATAAACTTTTCAAATTTAAAATTTGATTTAGCAAATCAATTGGAAATTTACAAATTTGTTTAAATAAATATAATATTATTAATGCTTTGTGTGGAGGTTTTTTTCATATATAAAATTAGCGCATCAACAAAATCAGCGCATACAAATCGGTCGTTTAATTCCATAGTGATTCTAAGTCAAAAATGTTTATTTTTGTCTTAAATATTTTAAACATCTGTTTTCTATTGTTTAAATAGAAGAAAAGGAAAAAGGGAGGGAACAAAGCGGGCAGTAGGGGGAACGAGAAAATGGAACCCAAAAGAGCAGGGAAGAGAAAAGCGAAGCCGGTGACACAGCACCAGGGAGGGAGAAAGCACGCGAGAGACGAGGGAAGAGAGGAGCGAGCGAGCGAGAGAGCGAGCGAGCGAGCAGCGAGCGAGGAGCGAGCGAGCGAGCGAGCGAGCGAGCGAGCGAGCGAGCGAGCGAGCGAGCGAGCGAGCGAGCGAGCGAGCGAGCGAGCGAGCGAGCGAGCGAGCGAGCGAGCGAGCGAGCGAGCGAGCGAGAGAGCGAGCGACGAGCGAGAGAGCGAGCGAGCGAGCGAGCGAGCGAGAGCGAGCGAGCGAGCGAGAGAGCGAGCGAGCGAGCGAGCGAGCGAGCGAGCGAGCGAGCGAGCGAGCGAGCGAGCGAGCGAGCGAGCGAGCGAGCGAGCGAGCAGCGAGCGAGGAGCGAGCGAGCGAGCGAGCGAGCGAGAACGAGCAGCGAGCGAGCGAGCGAGCGAGCGAGCGAGCGAGCGAGCGAGCGAGCGAGCGAGCGAGCGAGCGAGCGAGCGACGAGCGAGGAGAGCGAGCGAGCGAGCGAGCGAGCGAGCGAGCGAGCGAGCGAGCGAGCGAGCGAGCGAGCGAGCGAGCGAGCGAGCGAGCGAGCGAGCTAGCGAGCGAGCGAGAGCGACTAGCGAGCGCGCGAGCGAGCGAGCGAGCGAGCGAGCGAGCGAGCTAGCGAGCGAGCGAGCGAGCGAGCTAGCGAGCGAGGGCGGGCGGGCGAGCGAGCGAGCGAGCGAGCGAGCGAGCGAGCGAGAGAGCGAGCGAGCGAGCGAGGAGCGAGCGAGCGAGAGAGCGAGCGAGCGAGCGAGCGAGAGAGCGAGCGAGCGAGCGGAGAGCGAGCGAGCGAGCGAGCGAGCGAGCGAGAGAGCGAGCGAGCGAGCGAGCGAGCGAGAGGGCGAGCGAGCGAGCGAGCGAGCGAGCGAGCGAGCGAGCGAGCGAGAGAGCGAGCGAGCGAGCAGAGCGAGCGAGCGAGCGAGCGAGAGAACGAGCGAGCGAGCGAGCGAGCGAGCGAGCGAGCGAGCGAGCGAGCGAGCGAGCGAGCGAGCGAGCGAGCGAGCGAGCGAGCGAGCGAGCGAGCGAGCAGGAGCGAGCGAGCGAGCGAGCTATCTATATATCTATCGATCTATATATCTATCTATCTATCTATCTATCTATCTATCTATCGATCTATCTATCTGATCTATCTATATCTATCTATCTATCTATTTACTATCTATCTAATCTATCTATCTATCAGCTATCTATCTATCTATCTATCTATCTATCTATCTATTATCTATTCTATCTATCTATCTATCTATCTATCTTCTATCTATCTATCTATCTATCGATCTATCTATCTATCTATCTATCATTATCTATCTATGCTATCTAGCTATCTATCTATCTATCTATCTATCTATCTATCTATCTATCTATCTATCTATCTATCTATCTATCTATCTATCTATATGTAGCAGTAACAGTGACTAGTACAGTTTTTGTAAGAAATCTACTTTCTATGCTTACCCAGAGTAATAACAGTTTTATCAAAATTCTTTAACTACGACCAATGTTTTCTAACATTTATGTCAAGAGACTGAAACTTCAAGTTATTTCACTATCACAGTAAATGAGCATTATGTACGTATATGTACGTATAAAATATTTTTTCTATATACAGTATGCGGGGACACTTGTTGTTTACTTTTCTATAGATTTGGGTTGGTGGTTGGTTGGTTGTTTTGTTAATTTGTTTGTTTACTTGGAATATTTATTCATCCATCAGAGACATAAATAGTACGTGCATACGTACATACATACATATATTTTATACACATAAGTGAATTAATAAAAATGATTTCTAAATTCTCTCAACTTATTATTTAACGAGACCATTGTTTTTGCAATCTAATGTATATATACATATGTATGTACAATAGTAATAATGATATTCAAATTTTATATTTTTTATTTAATCATAGATTTAGGTTATATTTCTGCGAGTATTAATATGATAACTAAGTATGTCAAATGTCTTATTTTAAACTCAGAGAGTTTCAAATACCTAAAAATACTTTACCGATCTAAAACGTGTATGTACATATTAAAAATATTGAGAATATAAACCTTTTTCAAAATATCTTTCAATTAAATTCTTAATATTTTGCAAATAATCAACATTTTAAATTCACTAATCTGTCATTATCTGTAAAATATAATATGGCGTCTATTAGTCTAAACAAGTATAATCTAATTTTAATTGCAAATAAATAAATAATACTTAAGTTTCACAATCTGATTTATGATTTCATAAAAATTTGATCTTTATGTTCACTTATCACGTTTTATATGCAAAATGATACACGTGATTGTAACCATGTAATCATTTTAAATTGAAAAGTAAAACTGGTATATTTAATTGCCGGCATATTTTTACGTGCATTAATTTACATTTAATAATAACAACAACACTAGGTCACTGTAGGAATAAAATTTTTATTTTTTTTTTGCAATAACACACATTTTGCATGAAATGCAATGGAACTTATCTTCTACTTAATATCGACTGCAAACTTATACCTCTTAACATGGACCCTTTTTAAGATTATACTTCTAAAAAATGTTAAAAATAGTTATTTATTAAGTTTTGATTTTGAATAAAATTGTTATACAATTGTAAACTAGGGTAAATTTTTATTGAAAGACATTTAATTGTTTGAAAAGTTATTATTATTATTTTTGAGTTCAACGTTTAGTAAATATAGATAAAAATAGTTGTACTATAAACGTGTATATAGCATGATAATAGCATGTGCACTGTGGTTTAAAACAAAAATGTATGGAAACAAATTTTAAGAAATTGAAAATGTTTTCTTATTTTATAACTTTAAGCCATTACAACGAGTTTTACTTCTTTTTTAAATAAATGTCTCTTGGAAATCTTGTTGTATTTTTTTAGTAGAAATTTGTAACCGTCTATGGCCTTATAAAGGCTTGGTCATGGTAATAAAATAAATAATATAAATATATATTACACAACAACAAAATTATAACCCAGAGACCAAAGATAACTTTTCTAAAGTATTGATTCTGGCATCATATCTAGTTTTTGAGATATCGTGCCCTAAAATTGAAAAATTCCCGTTTTGAGCCGTTTATTGATAAAATCTGATAAATCCTCTCAAAGTCCTGATTTTCTATTTAAAACTAAAGGTTTAACCTTTGGCATATGTATATTCATCCTTCTTCGAGATATCAAAACTTGTGACAAACTTAGACCCCTCAATTTGTCACAAATATGTATGTAAATCTTATGTT